TCTAAAGCTACGTTCTGGCCGGAAGTGTTAAGTTGAAATTAAGAAGCGACAGGAAAGGAAATTTAACTCAAAATTTAACTGTTAATAAAATTAACATAATCCTTACAATATTCTAAAAAGAATGCGTCGAAACGTTGTAGTTTTTTTCTTGGCCTGTATTGTTTTATCTTTATCTACTATTTTCAGATGCATTGTGTAAAAGTATTTGGTAATTGTAAAATTATTATAATAAGTTAAAGAAATATCAAAACTGCTAAAATGTTTGGCGACCCCATCCTGCCCACAGTTTAAGAAACCCTGCTCTAAGGCATCCTGATTTGTTTAGAAATCTAATCAATGTGTTTTTCCTGAATGAATGGATTTTGGGAAAGTGTCATCTGATAGAATTCGGTTTTTATGTAAGAAACTTCTTGTCAAACCGAAAATGAGTTGATATACTTGATAGGTATATACTCGTACTTTGACGCAAATAATTGTGTATGATTCGGGATGACAGCTCAGAGCTTCAAAGATGTGATTCACAAATCATGTTTCATGCCATGCCCTGTAGACCTGGGTGATTTATTCATGGTTTCGATGTCATAAAATAAACTAATGGTTAATATGATTTTAAAAAAGAAGGCATCGAGCAAACTGAGTGAACTGTAAGCTTTGTTGGCTTAAATGTAATTGCGATCCCTGTCACTAATCTAAACGAACTTAACATGTACATTGCAGAAGGGCAGGTACGTATATTAATTCCTTTTGAATTGGAGATTACCCCCATTGAAGGAGATATCACAGACAGTGCTTACCAAATCCATGATAACAGACTACGCTGTAAATAGGCAGCGTATCTAGCATTCTTAGCTGTTCCAGGAGACCATTACAGATTTTTGTGCTGAATATCGTACAATGCATACTGATTCATTATTTTATTACATTCAAATTATCTAGTACATTTTTTCTAGAAATGCCGAATATTCTAATACAGCTTATCTATGAATAATAATATATATTATATATACTATAGCTTACGTTAACAATTTGCCTGTCTGTATACAAGTAGTTTCATCTGGAGAATAAGTTCATTTAGCTACATTACAGATGGAGGACAAAATAATGCGAACACCTGTGAAAAAGCATGACGTATTTCACACCTGCAGTACAGCGGCGCCACCTGCAACAGAAGTCTGCCACTTAGTGAGCGGGAAGAGGAAGGTATCAGTCTTTCAACAAGCAACTGCGTTGCATGCTTCGATCGAATTGTCTGTGAGAAGTTGAAATGTCATACCTGTCAGAGTTCCAAAGAGGAATGATAGTTGCAGCGCGTTTAAGTGGAGCATCAGTTACGGAAATAGCAAACCTTGTGGAGTGTGCAAGGAGTACGGTATCAGCCGTTATAACAGCGTACACGAAAGAGGGTATGACGGCGTCTTCAAAGCACAACAGTGACCGAAAGTTAAAGCTGGCTGATAGGGATAGCCAGGTCTTGAAGGGCATAGTAGCCCGAAAGCACAAGCAATCGTTATCCGAGATAACATTCGAAATGAACAGTTATTTACAGTACCCCGTTTCAGCAAAAACTGTCAAAAGGGAACTTCATGCTGCGAACATTTATGGCAGAGTGGCAATTCGTAAACTCTTGGTGAAAGCAATTAATGCTTTCAAGCAACGCCAATGGTGCAGAGATTACAGAAGCTGATCCCCACAGCAGTGGCAACAGGTAATATGGTCAGATGAATCGTCATCAACCCTATTTCAGACGACCTGACGCGTTTATGTCTGGAGAACGCCCAAAGAAGCGTTTCATCCTGCCTCTTGCCGACTGTGTACGTGGGGGTGGAACTATTATGATATGGGGTGCGATATCTTGGCGCGGTCTTGGACCACTTGTTATTCTGCATGGGAGGAATACATCCAATCACTATCTAAGCATTCGAGGGAATCATTCCCATCATTTTGTCCAGACTTTATTCTCTGGGGAACAACCGCTTTTTTAAAACGACAACGCCCCTATCCACACTGCTAGGTGTATTTAAGAATGGTTCGAAGAGCATGATGATTCAATCGAGCATCTCGCTTGGCCTCTCGGTCTCCGGACTTGAATATTATTGAACATTTATGAGCATATTTGCAGTCCAAACTTCGTTCCCGATTTCCACCTCCATCAGGATTTTCGGAATTAGAGACCGCTCTGCAGAAGGAATGGCTTAATATTCCTTTAAATATCGTCCATGACCTTTATGCATCTTTCCCACGTCGCATTCAATCTGTACTTCAGTCAAAGTGTGGTCCAACCCCCCATTAATAAAGATTTTTCATTATTTCACAGGTGTTCGTATTATTTTTGTCCTCCATCTGTAACAAAATCAGTATTCAAAACGTACAGTAAAAAGTGGAAGGAAAAACAACATTAGAAATAAACAAATTTATGTTAAATGATCACGACTTCATATACTGTCTCTGTTAACCATACATTTCTCTTTTCCTTTTTATATTTTTCATGGACAGTTATATTTTATACAGACAATTTAAGATAGCAGTTTTTCCATCGTTTGTCAATAAATGAACTTTTTGTCTCAGATAAGCAACAATTGATTCACAGCCTAGTTAATCTCTTCCCTTGACTAATCAGAAGTTGATTATAACTTTCTCTAAAAAATGCTTTTCGGCATCTTTTGTATAGATTAAATGTACATTCCGGTGTCAGTTCTTCTAAGCGTTTGCAAGTACAGAGTACTCTGAACAGCCTAATTAAAATTACGAACATTTTTGTACTTGTGAGCACATTCTAGAAGTGGGAATGCTTTCAAAGCGCTTCATATTATTGTGAGTTCTTTAATGGAGGTATATCAAATGCAAAGTACATTGATTAACTCAGCAATTCCCAACCGGTGGTACGCAAAGAAAAAAAGTATTTGTAACTATTAAATTTAAAAATCTCGTGAAGAAAAAGAACAATTGATAGTAATTTTCTGTGATAGAACACAAACTGAAGATTTCAAAAATAACATACTTGTTAACGTTTGGCTGAACCGAATAAAAAAATTTAAAGGCATTTCAAATAAAGCTATAAAAATTTTATTGCCTTTTTGCACAACCTATTTGTGTAAATAAGGATTTTCCTCCATGTTATATTTGAAAAATAAATACAGAGCAAAATTAAAAGTGGATCCTAATTTGCAGTTAAAACTAAGTGAAATAAGACCAGACACAAAGAAATTGATCTCTCTTATACAGCTCCAATTTAACACTAAACTTTAGAATTAAAGTATTATAACTTAAATTTTGATAATTAAAATGTTAACCAATTTTTAGGCCAAAGGGGCAATTTGTCCAGAAGGTCTATTAATTTCGTTTTGGCATTTTATTCACAACAAGCGTTGTTTCACTTTTCAAATTGTTGCCACCAATATTATCGCCCTGTATTATATTTTAAGAAATTAAATAATGAAAAATCTGCTAAATGTATGTATGTTTCTCGCATTGTGATATAAAACAACGGTACTTACAGCCATAAAATTTTGAATAACGTAATAATCCTACGATTATGGGCATCTGAAAGCTCGAATTTGGAATTTGTTTTATTATCGATTTCATATTTTGTAAAACTTTAAAGAATTTTTGATTAACAAACTCAAGGATTTCAAAGAGAGCAATGGCAATTTTGCACAGAAAAAAGCATTTTTATCTCCAGCGCGTGAGACTGTGTATCGGGAATTCTAAAGATATTTTCATTTCAAATTATTTTGCGATATTGCTCTTGAACTGAATTTTGTGGTTTAAGTGCGCAGAACATGATATTTAAGAAATGAAGGTAACACACAAAATGTTAACAAAACGCCCCTTAGGACGTAATTTAAAATCTTCCTTTTACAATCCATTATCTGTAAAAGGAAGGCCACAGCGTTAGCACGGCACCTTTCAGATTTTTTTTTTTACTTATTAATCTAGTATTTTTTATGTGTGCATATTTAATACAAATAGCCAATAGGTTGTGCAAATTGCAATATATATGTATTTAATATTTATATTGAGAAATTGAAAAATAATCATTCTAAAATGTAGTGATGGTATTAATAAGTTTTTCAATTTTTGTTTATATAGTAACTGTTAGTTAAAAGGCTGAGAACCGCTGGATTAGATTATTTTAGACAAAGTGAGCAATATGTTGTTAGAGTAGTCTAAAATTACTCTGAGTGACTTAAAATATAATTACAATAGGCGCCACTTAATGCGATAGCGGGTAATGCATTCGCATATTATTACCGAATTGCCGAAGTCCTGGCTTTTCTATGTAAAAACATCTAAAATACATAGCTTGTTATGATCAACCATTCGGCTAATATAATCGCCAAATAAATTAAAAATGCATTAAAAAAGTTACCAAAAGTTGTCAGCAAGTATAAGGTTCGAGTCGCCAAACATCTTGCTTCATAATTTTATCAACAGTTTAAAAGTAGGGCGGGGGAACTTTAGTTTCACAAAGATTTTTAATAACTCCATCATTTTGAGGAGATCAAACACAGGTTTCTCTTCTTCAGGAGTGAAAAATGTTTTGCGGAAGTATTTTATTTTCCTAAAAAAAGATTCCGTTGAAACATCTACACCAAACTAAGGTTGCTATTTAGCCCAGTTTAAAATTTTGTATAGGCAAATTCTCTTCTAATACCATCCGATTATTGAGATAAGGAGTACAGCATCGGTGAACTAATTTCCAGATACATTACGAACAGTTCATAGGTACACTTTTGCATTAAAGACATTATGAACAGTACATAAGCACATTTTTGCATTTTCATGATTAAAATGTGCCTATTAATATTTTCTAGTTATATTAAAATAGTTAGTTCCATTACTGTTTTGAAGACTATTTTTTTATTATTTAATGTTATCATTCGGTTTATGTTATCGAAATAGCTGTGAACAAATGTGATCAGATTAAGAGACGCCAATTGCTCATAAAGTTGTTGACACTGCTGTTCAGTGAGAAGTGACAAAAGAAATAAAAGCACAGATAATAGTTGCATAGGTCTCTTTATTATACAGAACTTGTTTTTCTTTTGAGAACCAAGTGGGATGAAGCTTTTATGATCCATTAACAAAATAGATGTAGGGTCTGCAACAGAAACAGTCCGCTAACTGTAAAAGGAAGGCCACGGCGTTAGCATAGCAGCGATTGCCTTTTTTCTCATTGTAAGGCTCGCTGACAACGATTCTCTTGCAATGCACCATTAAGTCTAACCCTCTGTTGTAAAATATGTAACAATTTATATAAAAATGGAGCTTTTGTTTATTTGTGAGTACTTAACGAACGTATGTACAAGATGGGTGAGATAGAGTAGTAGAGAAGTAAGGAAGCAGGCAGGAGTGCAAAGTTAAAGCGCATGGACTGGAAGGCCCCTAGGTGCCCAGTCAAGGCGAGTGGGTCCCCCTGAAAGGGGGATTGAAACGAATCCTTTTGTAGGATACCAGATTAAAGTTCACCTAATATACTAAGTTATGAAGACATTTTTCTCTTATTCTTTTGCGTGTGCAGGTAAAAACATGGCCCTTTAATAGAAAGGTAAAGAAATTGGTGATGGATTAGATATATTATTAACCTCTACGCAGTTAGGTTAGAGCTTTTCGTTATAACTTTTTTTTGACTTATTTATTGGTAGCTTTTTTTCACTGTAGTGAGTATGGAATTGAAAAAGCAGTAGTAGGCGTCGCTGATGCTAATTATGTTAGCGACAAGGAAGTAGGCTCTTTTGTATATGCAGTAAATCCTCGCATAATGTCTAAGCAAACTTTTCTGAAACATGCGCCGTTATGGAAAACTACGTTAATGGAATCTATTATTTTCGCAAGAATTAAGACAGAAGGGGTGATATTCTAAGAAGAGAAATTTTCTTGTGCTAAGCATTATTAATAAGTAGAATCTCTGTTATACCAATTAGTAATGTTTGCAGTACATTAGGAAAAATGGCATTCAAAGCGTCTTTTTATATGTGGTAGATATTAAATATGCACGGCTACTAAATTATAAATTTTTATTCGCAATGAGCATTTCTCAAAAACATTTTTGTTTTACATTTTCTTGCTCATTTTTATCAATTCATTTTTGTTACTCAGACTTTTACTAAATAGTGTTATATAAAAAATAATAGTTTGTTAAATTCTCGTTATAATTTTAACAAAAGAGTAAATATGATTTCGTCGAGATGGAACTGCATCATCCATTTTGGCAAAATCATCCCAAACTACAAACCAATCTTAACACTATTAGAACCATTATTACCACTAATACACTACCTCTAAATAGCTCTGTGTATAAAAATGTTACTAAAACATTATGTATTACTAGTTTGTATTGATTTACATTCTATGCTAATCATAACCAAACTCTTTCACATTCTAACTTCCTTCATACGACAAAAGATATTTGGACGATGTTATGAAGGACGACGGTTTCTGAAATTTCTCTTAAAAAGATACAATGTTATAATGAAATAACGCGAACGAAGAAGACGTTATACGAGGACCGACTGCATATATATTTTTGCACCGGGTATTTGAAAGCCATGAAAAATGTTTATGAAAGAAGCGTGGGGCAACACTCGTGCTCTATTTTCGTGCCTACTCATCTATAGCTTCTGTTTTAGCTAAAAGTATTGCACCCACGCTGCGGCCAGCACCTAATAGTGGACTATGTATATATATATATAGATATCTTTATATGTATATATGATATATACACAATACGAGAGCAGTCCAGTCTATCAGTCCCTTTGCTCTTGCCTAGCAGGAGCGAAAGGAAAGGGAAAAAATCACAGCTAATGCACAATCCAGCCTCTTTTGCAGCACCCCGTATGAGGACCACACGTAACTTATCACAGACCTTGGACTAGAGAATAAAGTGACTCGTCCTGATATGGGGTTTGTTCTTCTGTCTCCCTGAGTTTGAAAACCCACCATCGCCTTTGGTAGTCAGTCACACATAAGATATCTGTTCATTTCGTCTTCCAGACAAACACAACCCAGCTCTCGTGAGTAAAAGTTTATATATATATCTATATATATATTTGCTTTAATTATTTTTTCAAGGCAACCTGGAACTGAACAAGGGAGAGTTTAGGATGGGGGTGGTACTGAGGAACTGAAGGTCGACTCGAGTCCCTTTGTTTATTTTGTTTATCCTTTGGTTGTTGTTGTGCACGGTGGCGTAGCTCTCACGTGCGCAGGCGGTGCAAGTGAAATACCAGAGCCCGCTGGGGTATGCATGTGTGCTTAGTCGACGTGGTTTTTCACCCCCATTCTGATTCTCGGAACATAGCTACGCCACCGGTGCTTTTCTGTAGTCTGGCAAAAGGAGTCTCAGGCACTGTCTACATCATCGAATAGACACACAAGGCTCTGGCGGTACAAAAATAAAAACCCAACGAACCCGAAAAATCGAACTTTACATTATTTACACATCGGATGACTGAGAACCCGCAGGACCCCCTCGCTTGGACACATCGTCCCAGGAGGTGGTTTTCCTCTCTGGGCCTCGATCTGTCTTGTTGGAGGAAAGGGCCGAAGTTGAGGAGCAGGTGTTGATATGGGCTGCCGAAGACGTTGGAAGGAGTGTTCCTTGTTGTTGTACGGCAACCCCCGCAGAGCCGCCGACTACGTCTCCTGGTGGTTCCCAGTCATGAGAGGAAGGTTCGCTCTGATCTGCCGAAAGGTGCCTGTTGAGGCGGACCATCCGGAGCCTTGGACGCTAAAAAGAGGAAAGAAAGAATTAGAGAATCTAAAATAAATTCATTCATTTTCGGTTATGAATCTAAAATAAATTCATAACCGAAAATTTACATTTGTGTTTTCTGAGAAGTATAAATGTAATAGGAGTGCAAATCAGTGATAATTTGTTTTCTTCATTTTAGAATATGTATGTATGATATTTTGGAAACGGTGCGATGAGAGATCGCGCATTCGCGGTGGGGACGGTTATAGCGTTACAATGTGAAACGCAGTTGCAATCGACCATAGCCATCATAAGATTAAATATTAATTTTTTTATTTCCGAACAGGAACAAATCTTTAGAAATACATTTTTCAGGAATCACTCAACACAATGGATGCAATCTGCGCTTCACCATTGCATATACGCATATTATATCTTAAACAATATACGCATGTTATATTTTATATAATATGCGCATATTTATTGTATGCCACAATCCATACCCGCGTATTATATCTTATACAAACAGAAGATATTTCAACGTGGCGAACACATTCTAGTTAGCTGACAGCTTGCAAGAAAATTGGTGTGTTGAATGCTCTTGTTTTAAAATTGCATCAACAGCTTCTTTAGATTCATCTACAAATACAAGACAGATATTTTGGAATAAACAAAGTTAAAATGGGTCTGAAAATTAAGGTGTTTTTTAAAGTCTGAAAAGCTGTTTGGCGCTCAACTGTCCATTTAAATGGGATATCTTTTTTGAGTCAATTTTATAGTAAAGCTCTAATTCTGGCATAAGTTAGAAAAAATTTATGATACGCATTAATGCTTCCAAGAAATCTGTGTAATTCTTTAGCATTTTTAGGGCGTTGTAATTTTTTAATTCAATATTTGCATTATTGAATTGATATTTTCCTGTTTGAACTTCATATCCTAGGAAATTCATTTTTTGTTTAGCAAAGTGGCAGTTTGACCGTTTTAATTTTCGTTATTCTTTTTCACATCTGTCAAATATTATTTCAAGATGTGTAAGGTTTTAATTCGCTCACTATTTGAAATTTGAATAACCTTTTGGTAGGTATTAAGCGACTTATGGCTATGTCTGAAGTATAACAGAGATTTGAGAAGTCTGCAAAAGACCCTTTATTTAAAATTTAATAAAGATGAACACAAGTCTGCCAGCATCTATGGGGAGAAACTCAAAGTAGAAATTTAAATGTAAAGCCATCCTAATCTTAGAATAGCAAACTTAGTAACGTGACTTTCAAGAGGCAAAGTATGCTCTAACTTAACAATCTCAAAACCTCACTTAAATACACACCAACTCATTTGCATTCTGGCAGGAAAACGGTATCAGAGAAGTGAAAGTAAAGATTCAAAACATAAAATAACTGGTTATTTAAATTAAAGGAAAACTCACAGATGTTCTGAATGTTCTTCAAAATTTTGGGAAAATACTATGATGTCATTGTCATCAAAATAATTTAAGGCAAACTGAATTTGATAGTTATTTAAAGTTTGTCTATGGAATCTTTGAGGAAAAGCTCGGGAAATTTTTACAACCAAGAGGTAATCTATGGAATTCATAAAGACTAAAATTATTTGTAAATGCAAATTTTTAAGTATCTTTTTTATCCCAATAACCAGATGCCAAATCTAAGATAAAAAATACTTTTAATGCTTTACGCTTTTAACGCATTTGTTAAGTGATCTAGTACTGCACCTGTTCTAGATATGGTTTTGGAATCTGTTTTAGTAATTTGGTTGTTTTCTATAATAAATAGATAGTTTTTACATTTTCTTTTCATCTCTTGTATAAGCTAAACTTACAGGGTCAGCATATGGGCTAGTTGATGGTTTTTGCAATACCTGCATGTAATAATTCGTCTATTTGCTTTTTGATTTCATTATTATTCTTAAGGGATGCTCTATATAGTCTTTAAGTTTAAGGATGTCCTGAAGTCAATATTATTCTTGGAAGTTTAATATTAATACAACCAACATCATATTTATTTTTTGCAAATATATGACTATAATTATTTAGTAAATCTTTCAAATGGTCATTTACACGAGAATTTTAAACCCTATTATTTTCAGCGTCATCGAAATAGTCTTTGTCAATTTCAGTATTTTCATATAAATGTAAGAAATCAATCTTAAAAGGATTATTTACAGTAGATATATATATTTGCTTGTATTTATCTTAACTCGATATACCTGATAATCATTAACGTTCAATTGCAATTTAAACAAAGAAAGACAAGGTGAAGACAATAATAAATAATTTAAATGAGACTTAACCGCATAAAATGCCACATTTCTACTTATTGTTTCAATTTTTCACGACTATTTAATGAATTAAGTGAGAGAAAAACCTACACATAAGGAAAATAACTTTCTTGAATTTCAATTTCAAAATTATCAATTACACTTATGAATTACAATATACACTTTTAAGTATTTTCAGAAATTATATTAATTTTGACTACCTGTCAGTAACAGCAGGAAAGATACTACTCATTACCTTAGCATTTAACTTGAAATATTTCATTTTCCGGGTGAAGTTTAATTTTGATAGGATGGAGGCTGAAGGTAATTTAAAACGGGATACTGAGAATTTGAATATCTGAATGCTGATGACTGAACAGTTCTCCAGACCGGATTTGGAGGCAAATAAAATCTGGGGTAGAATGGTCTTGTAATAGAATATCTTGAATAATTAAAATATGAACAAGGATTTTGCCTGGTTTTTTAGGTGAGCTTGAAGTTAGAAATAATTTTCTTGCTAGGGAAATCCAATTTTGAATGGAACTTATATTTTGAATAGATAACAACATACGGTGTTTCTATAATAAACCCTGAGTGAGAGAATTAGAATTTTATCACTTAAATGCAATGCAGAACCTAGTTTTAGCTTCTGGCGAAAACACTTGTTTTTAAATTTATTGCAAGTGACTGAAACAAAATCATCAAAGTTAATATATTCTGAAGTAAAAAATGTACGTTAGAAATTTATCTTTTAATAGGTTCCAGCTATCTATCTAGACACATTCGCGAATATAGAATTAGAAGGCGTTTCTTTTAAAAACATCTAAAAATAAAGCTGACCTATCACTTTCATATCCCAGCTTGTTTGGACAGAAAACGGTGAAGATTCAGGTCACTTTGGCTTTAATCTACTACTCTAGTTTATTGAGTTTGGTATAATAACAGAATGTAAAGGATATAAAGGCCTTTTTTAACAATACAACCAAAAAGAAGACAAAGAGATATAAAATGGAGGCAAAAGTAATAATTGCATAGCTAAATTACGCTGTCAAGGAAGCAGAAATTAACCATGTAAATAGAAGCTTTCGATCTGGTTTCGATAACAAATGTATTAGATTATATATAAGAAATTCATTATGAAAATTAATTAAATTAAATATATAAAATCAAAGAAATTGCCGTTAATTTAACCAAGATTGTACTACTTTCTTTGCTTACTACAAGATTAGAAAAATTATATAATTTTTTTTGACTGTCTCGGTCCATGGGGAAATGGATTACACTTGCTTCGTTTTATTCTGCTTTAAACAAAAATTTATAAGCGATAGATACAAGTTTGAAGGAATTCAAATTTCTAGCTACTTAAATGAGACACATATAAAATGGTGATAAATGATTTATGATAAAATCATTTACACATATTTAATGTATTACAAATACAAATTTGAATTTTCCACTTTAATCTGATTATCCCAGCTTGTTTGGACAGAAAACGGTGAAGATTCAGGTCACTTTAGCTTTAATCTGCTACGCTGGTTTATTGAGTTTGGTATAATAACATAATGTAAAGGATATAAAACTCAGACAAGATTTTCGAAACTTATAAAAAGCTCGTTTAGACAGACCTCGGCGAAGATTCAAGAGAAAAGTGCTTTTACTTTAATCTGCCATTTGGTTTAGCTTACAGAGTTTATTTGCAAGATTTTTTGTTAATTAACTCTGTTGTTTTCTAACTTTTTCTTTATTTTCTTTTGCTTTTATTAACTATGAGAATGCATATTAGTTGAAATACAAATTAGCTCAAAAATGTTAAGATTTCCGAAAGCGTTTAACTCTGCTTATATATCCTGTTGCTGAATTTAACTTACAGGCTAAAGGTTCTGATAACCACTATTGCTTCGTAAATACTAAGGGTGAGCCAAAGTTTAGTTAGGAATGTTGATTTGCATTTCGCATTCAGTTTAATTTTAATGCATGTTTTGATCAAGTAAATTAGCGAAGATCTGTTTCTGTTAAACGTTTGAGCTTACGTAAACGTCAGGTAAATGTGTTAATAAATCGGTCTGATTTTAAACTTCAGCTTGAGTTGCGATACTTTAGAAGGCAGATTGGAAGAAAATCTATGTGATGGGTCTGTGCGGTTACTTCGAGTTATCTAGTAATTTAAAATAATAGAGTACCTGTTTAAGTGTAACCACTTTATTGAGTTTGATATTATTGCAAAATAAAATGCATACCAAATACATATTCGATTATCCACACTAATAAAATATTATGTAAACCGATCTTGATGAACATACAGATGATAATTCTGCTTTACTTTGTTAATGAGTTTCGCTCATTGAGTCTGTGAAAAATAAAAATTAAAAAAAAAAAAAAAAATTGCTCAAGAATACGATTATGAGCGCTCCTAATTCCATTTAATTCGGATAGCCAGGGGCTTTTCTTGTACTTGCACATATACCCACAAAGGCTAAAAATTTTAATTTCTTCAAATTCTTAATTATCAGTGTTCCTAACGTCATTTGATCCCTCTAATAAAGGTTAGCTATTAGGTTTCCTAGATTTAATCGTAACATGTGGAAAATAATTTGAACTTAATAAATATTACCTCCAGAGGTTGTGAGGCACACCTAGTTGGCTGCTCTTGCAGTCTCTCGTTGGCAGGTGTCGCAGGCACTGTCTGGGGATGTTGAACATTTTCTGTTTGTTCATCCAGCTCAGAGTCTTGAACAGTAGACAAATGTTCCTGATCTTGACTCCTGAATGAAAGAAGGAATGCTTTAATAGAATGAGTTTACCTTTCAATTAACAAAACTAATTCAACACTATGCTATAATTCACTGATAATATTAAACCACCAAATGCGCAGGTTTTCTAATATTTGACAATATCTTATAGGTGATTCATGATAAGATAAAAAATTTAACTCGAGGTTTGTTTCTTAGTCAATTTTAGATCACCGAGCAAATATCATCAATTACAAAATTTGAGTCACTTTTTCAGCAGCTCTAAAACTTAAGACTTATGAGTAACGATATTTGGTACAAATTGTTCATTACATTATTTAAATGAAATGTATTGCTTCTCAGTAAAATCACACAAACGAAAAAAATGCATAAGTTTTTAAAATGTCAGTCTTCGCTTTGATGAAAAAGCAAATATTCTTGAACCTTTCCTATTGATTTTAAAACAGTGTTTTCCAAAGCGGTACTGACGAGATCTAGAGAGGCGTTAAGGTTTTAAGGGCAGTGAGAAAATATTGGGAAAGAAGTAGGGAATAAAAACATACTAGCAAAATTTAGTTACCTAAATACGTTTCAAATTGTACTCATGTGATGACTTGATTATATAAATATTATAATCATGCATTTTTATGATTGTTATACAAAATCACAGTAGACTTTTTATATATGTTGATCCAATTGTGTATATGCTCATTTTGTTTCCGTTCGAGAGGAACGTAAGTTAAAATCTCTCAGTTTAAAATATTATAAACATGACCATATGTCTGTACGTGCAGAGATATTAGGTACACACAAATAGCATGTTCTCTCAATATATATCATTGCTCTTGTAAGGGAAGAATGTACACCTGTTTCTTCTTCTTTTTTTTAAGTTCGTTACTATAAATGTTTTAAGAAATATTTAATCATTATTATTATATTTCCGTATTGCTTGGTGTATATTAATTATAGATTTGTTATAGTGAAAATGCAATATATGTCTAAAATGGTTATGCATTCTTAGCCTTGCGTATCTCATTCGAAGGAATCTGTTGCTTGATGAGTATTAATTATAGATTTGTTATAGTGAAAATGCAATAGATTTCTAAAATGGTTATGCATTTTTAGCCTTGCATATCTCATTCAAAGGAATCTAGTATCTTATTATCGAAAAGGTAGGGAGTCTCTGAACAAAACACTTCGGAAAAAAAAGGTGATAAAGCAAAAATGATCGAGATAGAATTTTGATTTACTTGCAGTAGAAAATGCAGTCTTCGTTGATTAAATGGCTGAAGTATTACATAAATAAGATAGCTCTTAAATCATAATTTTAATTTATAGTTGGAGTACTTTACATCATTTGTTTAGATGAAGTTTATTAAATAAATTTTCCGTTATTAAAGTTAATAATTTTGCTCCTGAAATTTTATAGCATATAGTATCAAGAAATATACATTCAGAAGTCCATATAACTGTACTGATGAACGATAAGTATGATTGCAATTGATAAATGATAAATATTAGTGTACTGATAAATTTACTTTAATTAAAGAGCCAAAAGTTAAGTCCCTGTACTGTGGGTAATTTTAATAATTTAATGTAATATAATAAGTATTAATCAATATTTTGATATAACATAATAATAGTAGATAACATAATATCAATGTTTTATTTTAAAGCTCTCTTAAAGATGTAAACGTAGCAAAACAAAATTTTCTATAACTGCAAAGCAATCAAAATTGCAAATAAATTAAAAATAGGTACAAAAAGTTATAGCTAATTACTTCAAGTTTTTGTTATATAATGTTAAGTGAAAACTGTACTGTAAAGTGCATTTGCAATAAAAAGAATAATAAACAATATTGTACATTTATAATAAAACGGCATTCCACAAACTAATATTTCAGTCAACTATTATCTTGTGTTATTAAACTGAAATCTAAGATTCGTTCAGGAAGTTTCCGAATTTTTTTAATAGGGCGCCAATATGATTTCACAGGGATATCTGGTAAATGGCATTGCAGTGTCTTTAGCAAGATCCTTCTCCTTTATTGTGTACTTAAATTGTGTTTAAATATCATATTTCCTCCGTTTTGTTTGAGTGTTTTTTGTTTACTCTGTAATTCTGAAAATGGTTCAATTTAGTAAACATCTTATTAGCATGGGCATCAAATTTCGAAAGACATTTACAGAGATCCATCAAATGCTGGAACAAGATTATGGTGATCACTGCTTAAGACATACTCAGTTTTATGAACGATTTAAGCGATTCAAAGATGGTAGACGATCAACCGATCATAACGCCGGTTTAGGACCCTCATTCAGTTCAAGTGAGACAAAATTCATGTGCCTCAAAAATTCATGATATCATGAGTTCAAATTCACGATTGATTGTACGAAATAAATCGCTTACAATTTCGAGATTAAGTTGGATCATGCCATCACATTTTGAGTGATAAGTTATAAAAGCGTTGGAATTGCTGCAAAATTTCAATCCATGTCTACTATCTTGGAATCAGAAAGACTATCGGATTGCAATTTTCCAAGAACTTTGAGACTGCATAAATGAGGATGGAGATTTTATGGAAAAAAATAATCATTGAAAATAAGGTGAATGACAAAGATTGATAGTATTATCTTGAAGAACTGAGACGACTACAAGAAAAACTTCGGTGAATGATCTCAAACTTTGTATAATCAAATCCTGGTTTCTTCTTCAAAATAATGCCCATGCACACGCATCTCTTTTAAAACATGACTATTATTCCATGAAGATAAAAACAACACACGCTTCCTTGTTTTTCAACTTTTGTTTCTGTAGATCTTCTTCTTTTACCATTTTATGACATTAACTTGAAAAAAGACTAAGATTCAACACAATCAAAGAGATAAAAAAAAAGAAGAGATATGCGAAGCTGATCATAATTGCTAAACGAATTGGAAACGAAGTTGGAAGCAAGCATCAATCGAAAAGGATAGTACTTCGAATGTAGCCAACCTGAACAACCTATAAACGGCGGAAAAGTTATGAAAAATAAAGTTCGGAAACGTTTACGAACAGACCTTTACATTGTTAGTTTTTTTGTTGTCGTAAAAGAAGCTATTTTATTAATGGACAAAAAATTGAAAAACATATTTTCATTTAAAAGAATGAGATAAATTACAGTTAAATAATATAAATGTGTTCATGTATTAACAAGCATGTAAATAAAATAACTATGAAAATGTAAAGATCTAAATATTTTTACCTGAAGTACTACTTCACTTCTTTGTGATAATGACAAATTTTTCAGGCACATAACTTTAGACAGATTACCGACGTGGTAACGCTCCCCAATAATTCGAAAGTTTTCAGAAACTAAATCCACGATCAGATTTATATCTTCTAAAATTATCACATGTCAGAGTCAAACCTTTCTCTAAATAATTCATATCTTGATAGAGAGGGCAAGTGTAACAAAATCTATATCATCTTAATATCTTGGTACTGCAAAATTCAGAATATTACGCCATTAGTGATCAATGATCCGTAGCAGACACCATGACTGATCTTTGGAACATCACCTTTTTTTTTAAACGCTTAAAAGCACGCGATATCGATCATGAATAGGTTCAGCCTATTAAAAATCCAGTATCCAGCAAGACAGTTGCAAAGAGTGGAATCCATCATTTCTGTCCTTAACTGTTCCGTGAATTTATTCAAAAATTTGATTCAAGAACATACTTCTGCTGCTATTTTTAGCGCTGCTAAATGAAGTTCATGTCATTTATAATGCTTAATAAAAAACTGCGAAACTAAGAAATAAACACTTCGGTGTTTTCGTCGTATAATCTACTTTTGGTTATTGAAAAGTTTTGAAGTGAATATTTATTTCATGAAATATGAGAAAAGGTTTTTCATATCTATATACAAAGTTTCTGCAGAAGTTCTTACCGCATTTATTTAAATCGTTAATCGTAAACATGCATTTCTAATTACAAAAATGTTTTAAACGATGCGAAGATCTATGTTTTTATATTTTTAAACTAAAAAAACTTAGTAATTTGGTATAAAATATGAAACTTAATTTCTATACGCTCCCTACATTTATATTTAAGAAAGTGTTATAATGCTTATTATAAAAAATAAAATAAAAATATTTGAGCTCCCGTACGACAAAAATTACCCAGATATTTGACTTCAAAACGTGCAATTTTTGATGTCATTTCAGTTTGCATTGAGGGGTTAGTTAATAAATACAATCAAATCACGCTTTAGCGATCTTTAAGAGACCAGAAGCTTTGTTCGTTATATCTGGTATTTCGCGCTATCCGATCCAATAAAAAAAGATTATCTCACAAAAAAGTTTAAAACCTATATGCTAAATAAAAAAGTAATTACCACATTCTACCAAAACAAGTGAATAATAAATCTAATTAAAAAATAAAATTTAATTGCAATTATTATTATGCACACTTGTTATAGTTGCTGTTCGTTCTTTTGCAAGCAAAGTTTCTAATAAATTTATTGGCCTAGATTTTGGTGCATTTGTTCAGATGTTGGTAGATACGGCTTCTTTGAATGGCAAACTATTTCAAGAATGCTTCCTCTGCATCCCTGTGCTCCACCTTCCTCAACTTTTCAATTGTATCCAAATGTTTTCCTTGAGTAGAAATAATAGAGTTTCGAATTTTTTTATATGACACCAACTGTAGATTTGGATTAATTGTATTTCTGGCAAATGCCAATTTGGCTGTGTCCATTTTGTATTTTTCGAAGAATGCTCACCTTATCTTCAATGCAGAAGCTTTTCGTTTACAACTCGCCATGCGGAGGAGTTAGTTTAGTTTTACACAGACGCAGGGTGCTGAGAGTTTGGTCAATGAATACGTAAGAGTTTTGCTTTTCCAGAAAAGATGAAAAAGGAAGGTAATTTCGTCACCTACGTGTCTTTCCAATGCCCAGTAAGAACACAGTCATTTCTCCCAAGACATGTATGGTTGCAACACAAAAATTCAATAATCTTTATAAACAATATACTATGCCTTGCAAAAGGTCTGAAGAAAACGAAATCCCTATTGTTAGGATAGATATTGGAAAGCGTTACACTTAACGAATAGATAAGGATCGAAATTTTCATTTCATAGAAGAAGAACCAACTAAAAACTGCAAGCTCATAAGTTTCAATTCTTCCCCTTCCTTTGAGTCATTGAAAATTTGAAAATTTCCACCATAGCATCAGTCTTGAATAGAGTTCTGTCTAGCAGCTTATTGAAAAAATTTGAATGGAATTAGAGAAATCATTTACGTATTTTTGTTAAACAATCATGTATAACCATATGGTGTTCTGGGTTAATGTACACCATACGCTTATTGTATCTTCGTTCTCCTAGAGTTCGATGTTACACCTGTCTAGCGTAGCCTTTATTTAGTACACAAGGAAATGTGGAGGGGTGAAAAAAAAATGACGTAAGGGTGTTTTTCTTTATGAATGGAATGTGGATCCTAATATCCTAAACATGGATGATTTTAATGGTTAGCAATTTTTTTCGTTAAAAGTTTTAGAAAATGCAGATAAAAATATGAAAAATATAAATAAAATTCAATGGAAATATCCACACAGTTCGTTATATCTGATTTTCATACGCTTGAATGTTCGCTATAACTGTATAAAATAACATCGCATGTATAGGAAACTGAACGGGACAAAAAGGTTCGTTCGTTATAGTCGGAGGAGGTTTGTTATAGCAAACGTTTAACTGTAAATTGAAATAATTCGATGTTGATTTTCCCTCTTAGCCATTCAATGATATTCTTTTGTGATTTACTAGTATCTTTAATTTATATTTCATATGCCGAAAGAATTTTCATACAAATAATTTTTTCAAACGCTAAAAATATGTTATTAGTATTCTCATGCAGTTTTTTTACTTTAAAATAATAATCTAGTAATCATGCAAACTATAATTTAGCTAGAAATATTTTTAAATTAATGCAAATAATATTACTGGCCCACCAGCGGCCGAGCGGTAAAAGCCGCTGAACACTGGTAGTTCGTTCCGGGGTTCGAGTCCCGGCGAACGGGCTGGTTGCATGGGCGTTTTCGTGGTTTTTCCCCATGTGTAAGTGGATCGAGCCATTTTCCCTTAAAAAGAAAAGACCTCCACGGGGCATCCCTCCCTTTCCGTGTCGTGCCTAAGGGCGGAGCACGTAATAAATAAATAAATAAAAAAAATAATATTACTGTTTGGATATTTGCTCATACTGAAGCCCGTCAGTGGTTTCTAGAATACGAGTTTTATGAGATTCTGAGAAAAATAAAATCTCCATTTCGGAAAAAAATATTGCATTGATTATTACTTTTTACAATAATCTGCTCAGAAATACTCGTCAGTCTGTTAATATCAGAAACCTTTTTTTCTTAAGTTGTATTTTTAGTTACGTACAAATTCAAACGTTTCGCTCTTCTGTTTCTATAGGGCCTTTGAATACTATTTGTGACTTTAATACCAGATATTTTGACCAATTTTTGTCGTACCGCAGTTACCCATTTTTATACTATTTATTTTATTTTTTATAAAAAGTACAAAATTTCTCTTAGCATAAGACTACAGAACTTTTCTAAGCATAAGTATAGGGATCGAGAGGATGTATAAAATGCATGATTTCGTAATTTTCGCGTAATTAATAATTTAAACATGTTTGGGCACTTTATTAATTTAAATATTAGTGTCCAAACATGAATAATGCCCTAGCGCCGTTTAAAACATGTTCTTAAATGGCTGTGCCTACGATAGTTGCGAAAATAAAGGCCGAGTAAGGATTTTTACGGAAACAGAGGTGGTGAAATAGGTAATATAATGAGATTATAGGTATAATAATGAAAACTAATATTTTTATAGTGTTTTTGTAAAAGGCACTTTTATATCGTAAATAGACTATTATCGATAATTACTTTTGTTTCGAACAGCTATAATTTAATTTCGAATGATAATCCCTGATAAAAAAAATTGTCTCAGAATAAATAAGTTATTTGTTTTGTAATTCGTGTATGCCACTTTTAGGTATTTAATCAGATGTTTTCTATCACAAATTCTTCCAAAGAATGAATTTTTTTTTCTTTTTTTTTTTTTTCTTTTGATTTTTGGTTCCCAGTTGGTTATAGCCATACTTCAAATTGTAATTCTTAACAAAGTGAAAACTTTCTATCAGTACCATTAGACCACACTGTTAGTGGGAAAGAGAGTTAAGAAAATTTGAAAATTCTTCCATAAAAGATTCAGCAGGGATGATATAAATGGATTATTTTTCTTGAATTAAATTAGATATTTTTCATCTCAAACTTCAGCGATATACAAAAAATACAATTATAAGGTACTTTTTTCTCTTCTTCCCGCATGCCCTTTTAGTGTAATTGGAAGTATACTCGACACGTATTCGAAAGATCCAGGGTTTGAGTCCTGGGGAGACACTGCTTATTTTTTCACATCTCTTGCTTCAAAAAAAAAAAAAAAAACCTAATGATTCTGCAAATGGTGCTCGAACTAAAGGATGGTGGCTACTATTCGTCACCACCAGGATATGGCGATCCGATCTCCGAATCCCCAGTCGCCATTTAAAAGGGAAAGTATATAAGGTATTTTCTCCCTCCTTTCCGCATGCCTTCATGGGCGTAATTGAAAGCATACTCGACGCGTATTCGAGAGCTCCAGGGTTCAAGCTCCGGCTAGAGCACAGCACATTTTTCACGTCTCTAGCTTCAAAAAAAAAAAAAAAAACCTACTGATTCTGCAATTTCTTTTACAAACTGTGCAGTAGAGACAAAAAAAAAAAAAAAAAAAAAAAAAAAAAAAAAAAAAAACCCTCGAAGACATTTTGTACATTCGTACATTTCTTAGGTTATCTATTGTCAGTCTTTATTAATAAATTTATAAATAGCATGAGTATGTTAAATAAAGCTTTTCGCAATAAGACAGGAAAGTTTTTCATAAAGTAATTTTTGTAAATTTCCTTACCTAGGTAAGTCGAGGCTCCTGCACATATACCTGAGAGAGACCCCCTCAGGCGTGAGAGGGGAAAGGCTGCCTTGGAGACTAACGGCTCTCCTGTACTGTCGACACCGGGGCTTACCTCCCGGATGCCTATAGGAAGAAGTCGTTGCACCGCCGTCTTCAGGGGTCAGGTCAGAGGACAGGGAAACCAGGTCCTTGGAGACGGTGGTTGTGTTACCGAGGAGGGAGACCCCGGAGTGGGTGACTATGTGAGACAATAACTGCATGATCGTCTGGATATCAGTAGTCAGGCGTGTCTCTATCGTTCGGACTTGCCTGGCGTAGTAAAAATGCAAAACGCATCAAGTGCCATGAACATTACAGCTGAATTCTAATACTAAAGGTAAATCAAGAAAATAACACGAAATAGGATATGCGATTTAATTATATTTAACAAAATGGTTGATAATCTTAAACTGATTCTTAAAAGAAACAATACACAGGGTGCTAAAAGTGAGAACATAAGAACGGCTTATATGGAAAATGAGAATATTATTGATATTATACATAAGATGTATGCGCAGTAACATTTTGAATATAATTTTAATAATACTTCTTAAAGCTCCTCTTTTTTCGATTTCGATTTTTCTGGTTTCTTCAGAAATTTCAGAGTTTCTGAAAAAGCATAAGCTTCTAGCCAAATCCTTTATTAAGAATAAAATATTTACTCGCTTGTCAATGATCAAAATTTAATTTTGAATTCACACTGTAAAACCCCGAACTGCAACTGCAGGTTAAATTCCGCGTGGAAAGAATTTTACATTCCTGATATTTTCAAGTACAAGACAAAGGTCTCTAATAAATTTAGGCAAATATTTTTTCTAGTATTTCAACAATCAACAAATATTTTTTCCTGGCAATTTTATGCAGTAGAATTATCACAATTAAAAATAACTTTAAATATTTTAAGATCATAAAATATTCTTTCCATCGCTTACAAGGAACGTTTGCCATGATAACGGAGAAGTGTTACAAATAAAAAGGTATTACTTGTTTTAGTTAAAGTTTTAATTTTTTATAATAATTTCTGTAAAAAAAATATTGATTTTTCTTAACATAATAGTATTTTTTCCATCAAAGTTATGTGGAAATATCAGTTTTAATCCCAAACTTTACCAACGAAATGTTTTTAAGGCACGAATTTAATTAGGAAAACCTGAACATTATTAGTTTATCAGCACGTAAGTTGTTAATAAATTAATTGTATTTATTTATATACGTCTTGTTTATAAATAAATACTAAGTCTATATTTCTACATATACATAAGTCTATATTTCTACATATCTTAACTGGGAAGTACGCAATTTAATAGAAGCCAAAATTAGAAAAATTAGAAATCCATTTGCCTAAAATTACTTAATTTAATTAAGTTACGTTTGCACAGTGTTCATCTCAATAATCTGTTACGAAGAAGCTAACAAGAAATATACTGGTGGCTAACAAAGTTACATACGAAGTGGATAATATGAATATTATACTAACCTGCTGAGATTGTCCAGCTTGTTTTCTAGCATTTGAGTATTAGGTCTTGAGTTGACCAAAGGGAAAGGTTGATGATGGGGGGAGGTTATATCGTCTCCAGGACTTTGTCCATTGACGGAACTACCGGTAAGGGGTATGGTCACACTAGAACTTGACCGTGCTCCACTGCTGGAGGTTCCGCCTGTCGTGGTCCCGAGACGACAAGGTCCAGAACATGGTCGCCTTGTCTCCAACAAGTTTTCAAGAGGGCTCCTATGGCAAGTTGTAAGTGGCTGCTGGGATGAGGAGAACATGGCTTGCGGACTAAGGACTTGACCAACGGATCCAGGAGTGGAATCTATGGAGACCGTTTGGGAAGCTGAACAATAAGACAAAATAATTTAGTTTTCAAAAATGAATGATGTTGAGTCACATATATTTTATATAATTTTGTCATCACATTTAGCGTCAGTTTTGTTAATATTTTTAACCGCAAAATAGGGTAATTTATTTTGTCGATTCTCTCAATTCTACCATATCTCATTATCAACAAAGATGTAACTAACCTTAGCATAAAAATAAAAATGAACTTGTGAAGTATGGTGGTTTGGTTAATTTTCCTTGTTGTTAGCACAACCAAAAGAATTCTTTTGCTATTAAAAACCGTTCAGATGCTTTCGGCTACTTCGTTTAGGATAAAAACTAAGGATTTAACTGAACTTCACAAACTTTAGTCTGCAAATGACGGAATTACTTGCTTGTTAAGAAATTATATACGGTTTCAGTCTGAACCCTACTGAAACTGCCAGGTGAGTTACCGCCACTTTCGTGGAAACAACACCTGAATCAGAAGACAACCTATTTATTCGGAACTTTAAACATTCGCTTTTGTTATCTGTGTAGTATGCAATAGTGTATTTAGCATCTATGTATCTGTATAATGTCTGCATTAGTAATTAATATCCGTTTCAGCATTCGTAATTATCTGTGAAATTTCATGTACTTAGTATCTATATTTTAATTATTTAGTATCTGTGTAGCAGTGTGTAAAATGTATAGTCTAATGCCTTTATCATTATATGTAGCATTTTAATAAATTCCCCATGCGTTCCTTATGGGGCGCCGGGGGTGTTGCACTAAATAGTTGGGGGATCCGGGCGATTCCCAATTAGCTTATGCAAGCCGTCCGGTGGTCCGGATCAGCTTTCACCTGTCACCTGTGCGTGCAGTTTAATATCCACTACTTGCGGAATGTCAGGCAACATAAATGTGAACTTGTAAAGTAATTTGAGGCTGTAAATTTACAGTTGCAAAAATCTAACAAATTTAACTAATGGTCTGGTTGAAATTTAACTAAATGCGCGAGTGAATTCGGCTAGCAAAATAACTAACTCCAGATAAATTAAGTCGCAAAGTTGGGGGAGAATTACTACTATGTTCAGCATTGCTAGCAAATGTGCAATTGCAACCAAAATTTATGTAAAAAGTCATGATAATAATGCGAATACAATTATTGTATAGACTTTATTTGTAAATCAGCCACAATGTATGGCAATGTAAAAATTTTGGAATTATTAATAAATACTAGAAAAGGGCGGATGTGGGCAGAACCGATTAACCTTAATGGTAGAGGGATGGTGCCCACTTCCTCCGCTACTCTACTACAACTACTACTAAATGCCTCTATCTAAACTTTCAAGAATTGTGCTCTTAAATACATTTCTTGCATTAGCATATCGGTGAGAGCTAATGAAAAGAAGGAGAAGTTCTGGTATAATTCAAAATACGATAATGGATTAATTAACATAAAATACTCTGCAAGGCTTGGAGAAGTTTTAGTGCGTACTGATTTTTAATTTATGTAATCGTAATCTTTGATTGCCAGTAAGAATTTTATATATTCCCTTGCGTTTTAATAGTGTTTAATTGTATTTATCTGAGGTCAGTTTGGATTGATGGGCAAAAATAAGATAAATAAAGTCAAGAGAAAGTAAAGAAGAAAGAAAATTGGAACTGAACTTTGTAATTTGGAAATACAGTCTAAAGTGTTTGCATTTCTGTGAATACTGATTCGTAAACACGTAATTAAAAATCTGTGTTCCGCCACAATAAAATGTTTCATAAAATATTAAAATAAACGCATTAAAAATCGATGATTCGTAACTTTAAACTCTTTGTACAGATTTATTTCTTTATTTTCTTTCATGGTAATTATTAGTGAGCTTTACAGAGCTGAGAGTCATCATTTCATGGATATCCAAAAAACATATTCCAGTATGCTGTCTGCCTACATTTTGCAGTTACCACTGACTACCACTGACATTAACCGTGTTAATGAAATTTTGAGCCTGTGCAAATCTGGATCGCAAACATTTATTAAAGATAGCTATTTTTTTCCTGCAGGAGTTAAAAGATAATAAACACATGTGGTTAGATAAATTGTTAAAAGCAGCTAATATCGACAATTTTAAAAGAAATGCCATTTTTAAAAATGTGTTCTAACACTTTATTTTATTTACGTGTTAATATCGAAATCTAACGCAAGTATTGCATTAAAAGAAAGGATTAACACCAACCATATGAAGATCAGTTATAAACAGTTATCCAATAAGATTACAATGAAGATCTAAAAAGATCAATGTGTAGGGATTTATATTTATTTTGACTAACCAATGGCAGGATATGTAAATTTGGTAGCGCGTGTGAAGGAATGCAATTTCTACCAGTAGGATAAAGTTTGAAATTCTGAGCTGTAGAAGGGAAAGTTAGAAAGAGTGGGTACCTTTGGTAGCGTGAGGTTCTGCTTATGCATTTATTGCTGGTTAAAGTGGCGCAACTGCTATTATTCTGCTGCCACTAGACTTCGACGCGGTTTTAGATAACAGGATTATCTGAGCCCTGGAGAACATTCTACTGTTTTGTTAATATCTTTGAATTTTTAGTTCTTGTTAGTTGAGTTACCGCACGAGCGAGGCGTAGTTTGTAAGCGTCAAGTCGACGCACATTGTGAATTTTAAAGAACCTAATAAAGGGTTCTTTTAACCCATTTCCTGTCTGGTTGCTGCACTTATTTCAGCAATCACACTGAAAGTTTAGCAACTAGATACTACAAATGTTTCAGAGAAATGTATTGTTTCCAAATGTTTTTAATGCATAAAATATATTTCTTAGTTTATTGTTAAGAATATCAATAACCACGAATCTTCTGTGTAACTGTGCTTATATTTTTAGCGTTGAGGTTTCTTGAATGCTGGAAAGTTTAGAGTCTGAAACTACAGCACATTTTAGGCAGGAAAGTTTCTATAGTGTAATATTTGTTAGAATGACTAAATATGCAAAATATTTCAATGAATTCTATAATCGACTTTTTAAAAACTTTAAAAACGGTTGATATTAAAAAGTGCATATACACTATGTCTACTAAAGCTTTTATTTTACTAAGCCGGTTCTTCTCGCACTCATTGTTCATTGACGTACGTATTCTTCAAAAAATGCTTTAAATAGAAAAAATAATCATGTTATGGCATTTTAAAATTTTATAAACGAATTTTGTATAAATTATGAAATCTGACATTTTATACGATCGTTGATACTTGCAGTTATATTTAGTAAAAGCTTAAAATATACATTAAAAATGGAACACAAAAGGTTTGACTTCTATACGACAAAAATTGAGATGTTTGATTTTTAAATCTTGAGATTATGTTTATGGGTCATGCACAAATACAGGAATAAAAGTTTTGCATTTTTACATAACCAGAAATGGAATATCAGCTTAGGGAAATATTTCTGATGTAAACCAGCATGCTGTGCAGAGTGTGGCGCAAAAAACTGATATATATATATATATATATATCTATATATATTATACATATATATATTCCGAAAAGAATATCTCATTCACAGTATAAGGTATTTCTCCCGCCTTCTTAGCGTGGCTTCGTGATGTAGTGGTCTGCATGTTGGGTTCGTATTCCAGAAATCCATGGTCCGATTCCCGGAGAAGGCGTTGCTCATTTTTCATGACTCATGCTTCCATAAAATAACTAATGCCTTTACAACAGAATCTTACACAATTCATGCTCTAGAAAAAAGTATCAAGCTATGTTATTGGTAAATAGCCAAATGAAATATCAGCTTAGGAAAATATTCTTATGCAAACAGATTGAATAACAAGCACGCTGCGTAGAGTGTCGTGCAAAATGTTGATAAATACAATTATTTTCGAAAAGAATATCTTATTCACAGAATCTTGCAGAATTAGTGCTCTAGAAAACAATATCAGGCTACAATATTGGTAAATAGCCAAAAGAAATATCAGCTTAGGAATATATTTCTTATGTAAACAGATTAAATAACAAGCACGCTGCGCAGAATGTCGAGCAAAATATTGCTAAATATAATTTCTTTTCGAAAACAATATCTTATTTACACAACCTTACAGAATTAGTGCTATAGGAAAAAGCGTCAGACTTCAATATTGGTAAATAGTTATTTCGTAATAGTATTCGTATAAACTAAAAATGAAGAATATTTCTAGTTCAATAATTTGTTTTGTATGACTATCAGATTATGATTCTAAAGCAATATAATTGCATGTGACTATTAATAACGTATTTTCAGCATTTAAGAAGTTATAAATTACCTGTGTCAAGATTCTTCGTCATATCATATGTAACAAAATTATAAATTAAAGAATGTTACACAGAACTAAATTACGATGGAATATCACTATTACATTAAAGAGGAAAATTCAACCTCAAAACTATTCTCATTTGTTGCTTAACCGATCTCTTAAGAAAAGCGGGAAAAGATGACAAAACTTCCAAATTTTGAAAATAAATAAATCGCCAGTTTCGATCGAACGGAAGCCATACTTTTTGCATTTTATTTTTTTGCAATGAGAATACACTTTTATTGAATATAACTAAAGTGACCGGCAAATAACAGAGCAAACTGATTTCGTAATTTTTACAAAATTGATTTTAAAAAATTTAGAAATACCGCAATCTGAATCTTTGTGTGAATGGAAGTAAGTCTACGATCAACGTAGCAAAAATAAAAGCTGCATAAGGACGTTTATGAACAAGGGGTTTAATTTCAATATTACTTTAGATTAGAAAGTGCCATCTTTTGAAGTAGCTTTTTTTTTTTTTTTTTTTTTTTTTTGAAATGTCATATCGAAGTTGCAGAGCCGTGTCCAAAATTACGTAATTAAATAATATTTCTCGTTCAAAATACGTAATTAAATAATAATTTTCATATAATAATTCATTGAAAAAATTAAATAATATTTCTCTTTCAAAATATGTAATTAAATCATAATTTTCATATAATAATTCATTCAAAAATTATATTTAGAAAAACTAATAATGCATTTCATACTGTTCTATATATTATTTGGATAAAGATTACTGAACATGCTGATAACCTGAAAAAAATGACACCAAAACTTTTCAATATGGTATTTTCAAGCAATTTTATGCAAAAAATATTAACCTCTGGATTAATCTCTGGATACATAAGTTTTTTTTTGTTATTTTATACATAAGTTATTTCTGTTACTTTTTTTGATAACAGGCAAGTTCGTGCAGGTGGACTAGAGAAACTACAATAAATGTGGTTCAAGGATAAAAAAGTGCACGAAAGCTTGAACTATTAGTATAGAAAACAATACCATAAAGGAGGTAATTTTTTTGCATACTCGGTTCTACAGCATCCAAAAGCGGTGTTTTTTCTTTCGTTTCTTGAGGTTCGGTTTGAGTATCAGAACGGGCCATTATTAAACTAGGAGGACGTGATATTTGGGTGTCTTGAGATGGCTGGGACGCTGCAGTCAGCACAGGACCCGCTGTCAGGTTGGTCACTGCTGTTATCGCTCCTAGAAAAATGAATGATATTGAGATCACAAAGTTTGGTTAGTAGTGCCTAATATGCATTTGATAATCGTGCTTTGTTTTAATATTTAACTACTTTTGCTTGAGATTTCAAGTAACGTTTTCAGATTGATTTGTGGGAGAAAATAAAAAAACGGTTTAAAAATATGTCTTAGTTGAACAACTAATCTTTGTTCCACTTTAAGCTGGCAAATTTTTAATTTAAGATAAGATACAAAATAACCTGGATTAATCTAAGGATGTTAGAACTGATAGCGATATGTTTTCGCGATGAATATTTTTATTACTTTTAACACAGCATTCTTTCAATTTTATAATATTTAAACTGTATCATATATACGTTTAAGAACGTTTCTGCGAAAGGTTTTAATAATAATAACGTTATCATGCAAACTGATACTGAAATCAGAATATCGGTTAAATATAAACTAATTAATTTATATTTAACCAATGATTTTGTTGTACAGCTCTCAGATTACATATGACAATTTTAAAATACATGCTTAAAGAATTGAAAATACATGCTTAAAACAAGCATTTAACTTCCAAAAATTCGTGTATTTCAATTCTAAAGAAATAGTTTGTAATATTTTAAGAAATAAATGAATGGAAAATATTTTTGATTTTCTTTCTGAGAAGACAAATAGGAGTTAATTCATCGCTTTGCTAATAATCGTCTTGTTGATATTTAATATATTTAATATGGCAACATCAGAGAGATAATTTCTTTTTGATTCGGAATAAAGCAGCCAGGTTTGAAGCTTCATTATTAACAATGTATATCTTAAAAACATTTTGCAGTTCATAATTTGTAGCAATGAGATTATGATGCTTAAGAATGTTTGAGTTGTAGTATTTATCTCCACCTGATTTTATTTTGAGACTGTAGGAATTAAGAAAAAAAGGGTATTTTTATTGAGATGATGAGAATGTTCAAGGCTTTCTCCTGAATGAAATTGGATGATGGAACAAAAAAATAAAAGTAAGACTTTTTATGACCTAATTATTTAGAAGATTTAAGTTCGAAGATTCATTTGTCAATAACAACAGGAATGTTACTCTTTTAAAAGCAAATTCTAAGATTACCATATTAAAAATTTTTATACATTTGAATATGTAACTAAACATAAATTTAAAACAATAGATGTGTAAGATTATTTATTATCTGCTTATTTAAAACAATAGATGTGTAAGAACCGGTTTTCCTTTTTTTTTTCTTTCCTTTTGAATTTTCCCAAATAATATTTTAAAATAATTAAGGTACTTTTTAGTTTTTTTTAATCATAAAGTTTAAATGTTTTCTTGTTATCCAGAAAATAAATACCTTCTCTTAAGTTTTCCTAATTACAATCAAACATAACCTAGAGCTAAATACGGTGTATGGTGTATTTAATTACGGCAAAGCACACAAGGGCTATCTGCCTAAAGGGAGGGATGCCTTTCTAAGGGAAACTGGCTCGTATACACGTTACACATGGGGAAAACCACGAAAACGCCCATGCAGCCAGCCCGTTCGCGGGATTCGAACCTCAGACCGAACTACCAGTGTTCAGCGTCTTTACCGCTCGGCCGCTGGTGGGCTCAGAGCTAAATACGATGTAGCGCGATTAGAGTATTCGGATTTCTAATTTTTAGGAATTTTATTGGATAATAAGTTATGAATAATTAAAGCAAACACGGTAATTTCTTGATACCTTTATTCTTACAGAACTAGAAAATTTACTCTGATAAGGAAAAATTGAATTAGCGAAGAGGAAATTTATTTCGTTCTTTTCCTTTTTAACGCATATTATTACTAAACATTTCGAACGTTGTACTCCACAGAACTGCCTATAATAATGAATGTAAGAAACATATGTAACATAATTAATATAAAATGCTAATTAAAATAGTATGATATTAATTGCACTGATGGCCATTAAAATTGCAAATCCAGGAAGGTATGATCTGAAGAACGTCAAAATCCTATGAAGGGAAGAAGAAGTTGGGATATGCAAATGATTAGTATTTCAGCGCCTTTAGACGACGCAAGAGGGAGAAACGACATCTGAAGCACTGCGTAAAAGAAAGGTTGCGCAGTGAATTTCTCATTTTCCAGCGAGTCTGGCATGAGGATTCATCTTCAAATTCATCATAACATTGACAACTTGGACATTCAAAGAGAAATGATTCTCCTTATCTACTCTATTCTACAACAGCGTACTTTTTTCGTCGCCCAGGACAACGAAACATCTGTTTCAAGGCCAGTAACGATCAAGTGTGCCATAAGGAAGTATATTAGGTCCTATACTCTATTTGTTTTAGATATCTAATTTTCCGCATTCCAGACTGGACAACTACTCTCTTCTTGCTTGCTACGCCGACGATACGACGGTAGCCATCACATCTATCAATGACAAACAAGCAATTACGAAGATGCAGAATTATCTTTATACAATGGAAGACTGGCGTACCAACTGGCGCGTCAAAATCAATGTGAGCAAATTTCAACTACTAATCTTCAGCAAGACTCGAAAACGTATAAACTTTAAAGAGCTTCTCTTGTTTCAAGAACCAGTTCCTACCTTCAGTCAAGCCAGATACTTAGACATCATTTTGACATGGGCAAATCACATTAAAAGCGTCAAAAGGATGTTATCATGAGCAGATTTCTCCCTATTATACGAAAATATTCTAATCTCAGCTCTCGCACCAAGAAGCATAGAGTAAGACCCCGCTTAACGCTGTTTCGTTTAGCGCTGTTTCGGTTTAGCGCTCTTTTATTTCAACCCGGGGATTCCACGAAATCGCTCGCAGCATACGGGGATTCCCCGAAAATTTATGCAGCGATAGGTTTCAAATACATATCCGAAAGAGTGTACTTGTATTTCTTGTTGGTGCGGTATTGTACAACATATTTTTATTATTGGAAACATCAATTCAGAAGCAGCGGCTAGTCTTTCTAATGATGACTCAAGGAATTAACTGAACAAGAAGAAACAAAATGTTGACAGCAGTAATTCAGAAAAAGAGCAAAAAGAACTTTCGATGGCGTTTGTAAAACAATTTGTCTACCATAACTGAAATAATGGATCAATTCATTGAAAATGACCGAATTTGACAGGAGCTCAAAAGTAAGGCGTGGTGTTAGAGATGCTCTATCCGTTTATGAAGAACTTTTTAAGAGAACAACGCAAAGAAAAGGCAAACAACATTAGATGCTTTTGTCACAAAAGGCAGAACACTGAAAACGCGGAAGGCTACTAAATATGACTGACTGAAATTTTTTTGTTTTTTTTAAGAATATTCGTTTTGTTATTATATTTGTTTTTATTTTGCAAGAAATAATAATGTGGTATTAATTTGGGCTTAAGAATAAATGTTTGGTTTTATTTTTATTAAAAAACATACTTTTTAAATTTAATACCTAACCAATTTCCTAGCCATCTTCCCCTAACCCCAATATTTACATGTAAAGGTAGCCTCGTTTAGCGCTGTTTCGCATTACGCTCTACTTTGATGGAACGTATCCCCCGCGTTAAGCGGGGTCTTACTGTATCTACACTACGTGCATCAGGCCCACTTTATGTTACGCTGCTCCTTCATGGAACACTGCAACGAATAACCAACTTTACCAACTGGAAGTGGTTTAAAACAAGTTTCTGTGAATTATTACTGATGTTGATAACCTTGTCAGAAATGCACTCCTGCATAAGGATTTAAAATTTGAAATTATCTCTGAATTCATCAAAAGGACTAACGAGAAATTCTTTACTAAGGCCATTCAATGTGATTTTGTCAACTATGCAAAGTTTAAAATTATGAGATTATTTATGAAGACAGATACATTAGACCTCTTGCTGCATACACTATCATCGTAAGCGACCAAAACTTTGTTACTTAAGCTCCTCGTTCAGTGGTTGCCTTTACTTTATTCACCTACCTGATTTCAATTCTTGTTGATTTTCCATTTGCTAGAACTCTGTATTTTTAATTTTGTTGTTTGTATTTCTAGTATGGCACCTTGTATTTATTCTTACAGGTTGTATTTTGTATATTGTATCTTGACTGTATCCTGTATCGTATTTTGTATTCTATATTTTGGTTCTTGCATAACTTATGGTTATTCTTTTCGACACTCGTCAGGCTCTGAGGTACTTGTTTGATTCTCTTCTTGAGTCTTGGATGCTTTGGTCACACTCCTTTTTCTTTTTCCCTTGTCTCCGATTTCTCTTCAGAGATGGTGTAGATTATCGTTAAGTGATATCTCCGGTCGCACTGGTCGTTTGCTGAGGGCCATACTGAACGACATGCAGGATCTCAACGCCCTCCCATGACTAACGCCCGAGAGGATACACATATTGTGAGGTCAGCCTTGCAAAACCGTACGACCACATCGCGGACCATTAATCAGGATATGGGCATGTTTGGTAGCACGCCCATTATCAACTGATAAGGTGCGTCGACGTTTGTAGCAGGGTGACCATTACTTCAGGTACCTTGACAATACAGCATAGAGAAAGACGGCGACTCTGGTGTGCCAAACAACAAAGCTGGGTACATGAATGGCACAAAGTCGCCTTTTCAAACGAGTCCCAGTTCTACGTGCAATATTCTGATGGCCATATACGTGTCTGGAGTGTCCGAGGAGACCGCACCGCACGTCTCCTGCTTGCATTCGATATCGGCACAGGGGCCCTACACCTGGTGTAATGGTTTGGGCAGCCATTGAGTGCACGACACGCACATCTCTAATTCGGATCGACGGTAATTTGAACGCAAATCGGTACATTTCTGACGTCTTACGTCTAGTGGTTGTGTCCTATCTTCGAGGCCTGTCAAACGCCATCTTCTAACAAGATATGCAAGAACACATGTTGCACGTCGTGTTCTGACCTTCCTCGATACACAGGAAAATTATTTGACTGTTGCATTGGCCTGCACGGTCTCCAGATCTGTCACCCATTGAAAACATCTGGTCATGGGTGCTGAGAGACTGTCCCAT